GGACAGCTTTCTATTACATCAAGCTCTCTGTTATATCAAGAATTATAGAAAGACTTTAGATTCACAAGTACATAGTTAACTGAGCACTTCAACTATTAAAGACTTTGGAAGACTTTGGAGACCACATACTCCATTGTGGGGAGACAGAGAAAGTCTTTTGATGCCAGGCTGAGGTCTTCATCACGTGTTTCTTGCTTTCCCTCCTTCCCCATGGAAATGACAGCAGAGGCCTGGGAGAAAAAAATCCATTTCAGGGAGCAGAGGCAGACCAGAGCTATTAACACATTTCTGTAAATACTAATGGGCAGTTAAAACCATGGAGAAGAAGCTGAAGCTCAAATGAGTAATGTGGAGGTAGCAGTAGAGGTGGGAACAGATTTTCAAAGAATGAGAGTTAAGTGTTGGCCAGAGAGTGTGGTGATTGGTGAAAGGATTATCTACAGAGCAGGAGACCACTATCCCCTTTTGTATATCAGCTACCACTCCAGTGGGTGGTGTAGAGCAACTGCATTCCTAGGCTTCACCCCAAGTCAAAAATTGGAAGAATGTCTGCTAAAGAATTGGGAGGGCCTGCCTAGCAAAGTCCAGAGCCTCAGCAACCTATTTTAATCTGCATGTGGTGCAGCAAAGCTGTTCAGTGGATGCTCCCCTCTCCTAAATGGGGAATTCCTGGTCCTCTTCTCAGGGAGGAGAAAAACCTGTTGACAAAAATAGGCTTCTTATACTAATTAATCAGTTCCATTCCACACTCTGAAATGTAGGTGTATGAGCAAGGATCTGCAATAGAAAAGGACAAAATGAACAATGGGAGCAGCAGAACGGGGAGAAAATAGAGATAATTCAGGAAACAGAAGAGAACTTTAAAAAATCCAATTTATGTTCTCAGATATTGTGTTTATGAGATGAACATAGGACCAACTGGGAACAAGACAGTTTTCTTAGATATTAAAAATGATTGCCTACAATAAAAATATAGCATAAAAGCTGAAGAAAAAGTTAAGGATATTTCCAAAAACAAACAGCAAAATGACAGAGAGATGGAAATAAGAAAATGGAGGGTCAATCCAGGAGGATCAATATTTGCTTGACTAATAGGAATTCCAGATGGAGAGAGAGAAAGAAAATGAAGGATGAAATACTCAAAGAAGTGATAGAAGAAAATTTCACAGAGCTGAGGAAAGACTTGGGGCTGCAGCACAAAGAGGCGTTTGACAGCCGGGCAGAATGAATGGATACATGAGTGGCGATAAGGGCACTTGAGTTGGTGTTCTCTGTACACTTCTCTTTTTGTTTGAAATTGAAGACATGTCCTTGTGAAATTTCTAAACACCAAAGATAAAGACCTCAAAATATATCTAAGAGAAAACAGTGTTTCATTCATAAGTGAAGGAGAATCATATGACAGACATGAGCCTTGTGTGTGGCAGACTTCTTCAAACTTGTAAAGACAAAGAGTGGTTATCGTCACACACAATGTTATGAAAAAATTACTTGAAGATCTACTCTAGCAAAATGAAAAGGAATCTGACAGAGAGAAAGACATGGAGTGCAGGCGGCAATGGACTTGTCTCCAAGTGTACAGGGAGAGGATTTCTGAAGTCGATAGTTGTGCAGCTTTGAGAGCATCCAGAAAATCACAAGGCTTTGAAAGATTCTTCAAGAAGAAAGGGAATTCCACTCAACAGGCAGTAATAATTAAGAGAAAAAATAGTCTTAATGATGTGAAGACATATGCTAGGAAAATAAAAGAGAATTAATTTTAAGTGCAAGGAAAAGCAAATATCTATTCAAAGAAGGCATGGTCCAAATACGTAGGATACTAAGGGGCCCACCTGGTGGTGCAGCACTTAAGTTCACACACTCCAGTTTGGCAGTCCAGGGTTTGCTGGCCTGATTCCTGGGCACGGACATATGCAACATTTATCAAGCCATGCTGTGGCAGGTGTCCCGCATATAAAATGGAGGAAGATGGGCACAGATGTTATCTCAGGGCCAATCTTTCTCAGCAAAAATAGGAGGATTGGCAGCAGATGTCAGCTCAGGGCTAATTGTCCTTGGAAAAAACCCCCAAATATGTAGGAAACTAAAATATTGCATAATTTTAAACAATTGATGAACTGTAAGAACCTTGATGCTTGTCGTATTTTCATCTGTGTGGCCCAGATGAGTGCCCCAGGACTACCTTTCTTCCACTTTGAGTTCAATCATAATTTTAGGGTCATCAGTGAACAATCTGTATATAATCACGGTAAAATCTGCTGGTTTCTCCATTTTTAGAATCACCATAAAGACCTAGTATGGTGGATAGGGGTGGACAAAATGATTGAAGGTGGTCAAAAACTACAAACCTGCAGTTATAAAATAAATAAGTCCTGGGGCTGTAATGTACAGCATGGTGACTATAGTTAATTATGCTGTAGCACATATTTGAAAGTTGCTAAGAGAGTAGATCTTAAAAGTTCTTACCAGAAGAAAAGAATTTGTAACTATGTGAGGTGATGGATGTTCACTAGACTGATTGTGGTGCTCATTTCAGGATATATACAAATATTGACTCATTATGATGAACACCTGAAACTAATACAGTGTTATATATCAATTATATCTCAAGAAACAATAAAATAAAATAAACTGTAATGAGACATTACTACACATCACTGGAATAGCTAAAATTAGAAAGTCTGTCAATACCAAAAGTTGACGAGGACGTGGAGAAACTCTCCTACATCACTGGTGGGAATGTAAAATGCTACAGCCACCTTGAAAACAGACACACGCTTTCTTAAAAAGATAAACGTATGTTTCCCATTCTACCTAGCAAGTCCACTGCTAGGTATCTACTGAAGAGAAATGGAAACATCTATCCACACAGACTTGCACATAAATGCTCTTAGCAACACTATTCCTTGTTCCCACTCAAAAACTGGAAGCAAAGCAAATATCCATCAACTGGTAAAAAAAAAAAAACTAGTATGAAAACTTGATGATGATTAACAAGCAAGATGTAAAATGAACCTTAATGAGGATTAAAGAATGGTATGTAAACGTTAACTATCTCCACCAGGCAAAGTTGAGGCTGACCCAATTAGGAAAGTCGAAGGTGTAAGGAAAGGAAGAGGAAGTGTAGAGCTGGTTTCCTTATTGTCCAACACAGGAGTCTGAAGGTGACGAAACAAGTATAAGGCTTAGTGTGTTCTTTTTTCTTTACAGTTGTAAAGGTAACCAACAAGACAATTACACATGGAACCATCAAATCCGGAGGGGCAGGGCAGGTGGAGGCAGTGCAAGCGAACTGCTTCCTTCTGTTTCCAAGCGGAGAATTGATGGCTATGTCTACACATGATTAATTGAAGAAATGATGAAACGTGCTCTGTCATGGTATCAGCAGTGCCAGGAAACCTGAACACTGAGACAGTTAAATGCCCTTGGGAGGTGGGCAGGAGGCTTCTGTTTTTTATCGTATGCTCGTCTTCATTATTTGCTTTTTAAACCATATCCATGTATTAACTGCATAATAGAAAGCAAAGAATACTAAGCAGTATTAAAAAGGTGGTTGGAGAATATTTAATGCCAACATAAGAGAGGAAAAACGAAATTATAAAACACATACGGTACTGCTTAATTTTTCTATGGTGGTGTGGTCATGAGTGATTGTTTCCTTCTTTTTTGCTTGTCTGTGTTTTCTACAAATTACTTATTGCTTTCTTAATAAGAAGAGGGGAAGATGGGATGCAGGCCATCATTTCCGGCCAGGCAGGGCCTGTGTGTCACGGCAGATTCCCTGCGTTAGCCTCTTTCTACAATCTCGAGTGCATGGCTGTCTCTGTGGCTGACTCAGAAATGCGTCCTCAGTAAGACACTCCTCATCAAAGAGAAAAAGAGACACACAAGGGCCGGATCCTCCTTCCCGGGTAGAAGGTCTCTAGAGCTTGTGGCAGAGCCCTTCCTCACACTCCATTCCGGAATCTTTTAGGTTCTCTGCCACAGCATTCTGCCTCAGAACCATTCATGGAGCAACTTATGTTGCTCTGACGTCCTTTACCAAGAGTGGAAAAACCCGGAGATTAAAGAGAAAATTAAAATATTTAAGGTATTGTGCTATTTTTCTTAATTTGTGTAATTCAATAATCAACATACACAAACACCCTTCCAATCTCACATCTTATTCCTTTAATGTGCTCATCTTATTCCATAAACTCTTCATACTAATTTGATAAAGAGTAATTGTTAAAAATAAAATGCATTTGTGCAGTGATATGCCAGGCATGTTTTGAGAAATATGATTTTTAAAATCTGATATGAACCCTCTAGATCTTCCAAACCCCTTTTTAAGCTGCAGAGCCCTTTTTGCAAGCAAAAATTGACCCTGAATCCTCATCTAAAAACAGAGCAAAGAAGCTGCTTTGATTGAAGGGGAAGCAGGAGGCCTAGACTGCTCATCATACACACTCCTTATGCACACAGCCCACACCACACCCACACACAACCGCACCACACTCACACACGAACATCCTCTCACACATTGCCCTTGTCACACATAGACAGATACCACAGGTATATACCACACACACACACACGACCATATGCACACATCACACACACACACAACGTTCTCTAGGCCTCCAGGGTTTCATAGAACATAGCTTGAAAAGTCAATACTCTCAATGCAATCATTGTATTTAATTTTAATGAACTATTTTCTTTCTTCGTTTTCTTTAAAAAGGTAAAAACCCACTTCCACCAGCAACGATAAAATATTTAGCGGTTATTTCCTCAAGAGTACTGGTTTGAATCTGTAATTAGTACTAGTAGCTCTCACTTCTGGCTGGTTCTTTGAAGTTAAATAGCAACAGCTCCTAATAATCCTGATGGATCACACATTGGATCATCAGAAGCCCCAGATAATTTCCTGAGATCCATGCCACAAGGGAGAACATACTAATATTTCATCTGTACAAAGTCATGATAAATGGTATGAATTGAAAAACACTTAGTTTCACCGGCCAGTGGGCCCCAAAGACGAGGATCTGGCTTCGTGCTATGTCAACGCGGTTCCAAGCCAGCGCCAAGCTCAGTTGGTCTGGCGCCGATGCGTTTGTTCCTGGAAAGGCAATAAACAGGCATTCTCACACCATGCCTGGACCACCCGGGTTTGGCAGGTGCTGGGCACCAGCACGGGCTTCCCCGGCTGGCTCAGCATCACTGCCTTTTCTTTTGCCCCTGAATGACCCCTCAGGTCCCAAAGCTACGAATTCCATATTCTTAAAGAGCTGCCTGGGAGGAGGATGGAGGCAACCTCTTTCCATGCCAGCTCAGCAACGTCTGCCTGGGAGGGACAGAGGAGGAGACCAGTGACTCCAGGACTCTTATCTGCAAGAGGACAGGAGCCCTGGAACTTGCCAGACATCTGCCAGGCCAAGCCAAGGGGCGTTGACCTTCCAGGCTGAAGGTGAGCACAGCCCAAGAGCACCAGCTCCCGCTGCAGGGAGACCAGCACAGCACTGCCAGGCAGCTGCCCGATGGCGACACCCTGTCCTCCCTCCTTCCTAGCCCCGCGTTGAACCAGTATAGCTGAGAGGCAGGGAAGAGGTGTGTGTCCTAGAGCCTTCATTAGCAGCAGGATGGGGAAATTGGACAGAGCACTGTGGGATGCAGTGATTACCAGTGAAAAACCATTTCAGATTTACCCTCTAGGAGTTGAAACACTTAATGAACTAGTTACAAACGGAAACTTGTTCTGATTTCAGCCCATCAGGGTCCATTGGCACTCACGCAAAACGCTCCCTCCTAAGAAACCCATTTTGAGCCTTGTCATTCTACCGGCCTCCGTACTAAGATAACTTTAGGCAGCCTGGCTGGCTGGGGCAGGAGAAGAGGGAGAGGGATTTCCCAGCCACGAGGGAAGCGCCAGGCTGGGCCAGCACTGAAAGGACAGGAAGGCCCATATCCTGAGAGCTCACCTTTCAGCAGGGCAGTTAAAATTGCCATCTCGATGTCTTGCTGACCCTCGGCACCCATTCTAAACACGGTGACCTGAAAACAGGTTAATCATGAAAACACTGAGTAAAGCAAAGTTGGAAATATGAGGGAGAAATGGGGTGTTTTTTAAAAAGGGCTATTGACACAGATGTGTAATGCAACGATTCTGGGAGCTAAGCAATTTTAGACCAGGTGATTTTGATTTCCAGAAGTGATAGCATTGCTCGTCTCTGCTCTGAATCCTTGCCTGGATCCTTATTTTATTATTTATCTAATCTGCTCCAACACCCTCAGGAGGAGGGAGCCCACTCAGGATCTACACTCTGATATCTAAATTGCTATTGGAGACGAGAAAATCATTTCTACTCAGATTTGATATATTTGTAGGAAATTTATAAATTCAGAATTTTGAAGAGGCTGACATGTGCACAACAAGAGTGCCTATTCCTTATAAACACAGCTGAGGAGTGGGAATAATTGCAGCATTTGGAAAGTGAAGTGACAGAATTTTGTAAGCAAAGGGGTAGTGTATGTCACCTTCCTCAAGTCCTTAAATTGGATCAATATAATGAACCTCGGAATTGGTGCGATAAGGCATGGTGATACCCGACATTCACCAAGGTCTGGAAGCACCTGGGGCCCTCCTCTGTGCACGCTTATTCTGCTTCCATCACCTAGACATAACTGCCCATTTGGTACGGATTTGTAAACTGCCTCTTGGAAAAGCCTGAACTAAAATATGAACAACTCCACCGTGCACACGTGGGCAGAATTAGAAAGAAAACACAATTCTCTCTGTGGAGCTGGTTTGGAAATAAACTCAGGACACTTACGAGTTCTTTCTTTTTCATGCACTCCATTATAATTGCAAACAGCTGATGCGATTGTGCCTTGTTGTAATTAAATGTTTTCTGAATGGTAACTAGAAGCTGATCCCTGAGAGATTCGTTTATTATCCTGTTCAAAGGAAATGCACAAGAGGAAAAAACAACGTAAGTTAAATTTGTCCATGAATAAATCAGACATCTCTACGTCCGTCTGGTATCTTTGATTCGAAATGTTACCATTGGAAGGTATCCCGGGATAGAAGACAAAAAGGGACCATAGTCAAAACCTGCGTTCACACTTGTCCTAAATTCCAGGCTCGTTGAAAACCTTATAAGGGAAAATGAAGTTGGAAGAGAGTGCGTTCCCCCAGAGAAAGAATTCTCTAAGAAACATCATGCTCTTGACAGCTCCCTCACATGCTGACCTCGGGAAATGGGAGAGGAAATCTAGTAAATCTCCCTTACTTAACATTTTGGAATGGCTAAACGTATCTCTTAAGGTTTTCTTCTTGGCGTAACAAGAAGGCAGTTAAAAACCCACCCTTCGTAACACGTCAAAATCCTACCCTCCTTCTTCACAGTACTTGTGTGCAAAAGACAGGATGTCCGAGGCTCGTCCGCTGCCGTCGCAGACCACCACGGGGACTGGTGGGTCTTCTCGGAGATACTCCAAGACGATGGAAACCACGTTAGGGCCCCCTTCCACCACGAGGCCCACGAGGGGCACACCCTGCCCCAGTCCTGCAACACACACCACATGTGCCGTTCAGACAGGTCACAGCCCTATCTGCTTGCCCATTTGAATGTCTGGAATGTGGTGAAGAGTGAAACCTTAATGACTGGATGAATGCTCCGTACAGTGTTGGTGTTCACCAAGAGACGTGAAGGAATTTAGTCAAGTGATGGTTGTTTCATTTTTAAAATTCAAACTCCATATTATGGTCTTATTGGAAAAACCAGAGCCTATAAATCATGAGCTTTCTGAATCATATATGGTTAAACTCCATGTATAACTCACCTGGCATATGGGCTACTTCAAGGTGAGATGTGAGAAACGTTGGAAGATTCCCTTTGCTAAAAATATACCTCCCTTGCTGCCCTGCCCCAGGTGAAATTCCCATCCTGGGTGGCGGTCCCTTAAAGAATGACACAGTAAAAGGAGATCTGGACCAGCAATAGGAGAGCTCAGTTCAATTACTGACCTCTCAGGTATTAGTCTTATTAAATTGGGCCCATTGCCAAGCTGCCGTGAGCCATAGATGACCATCTGCAAAAGAGGAACCATGACAGTGCCTCCTCTATCTGCTAAAGGAGCAATAGATAAAAAATATAAGAAAATATTTGGCTATCAAAGTGTTTTGTCAAATTTAAGTGGTATACAAATGTAGTATGTTGTAGTAGCTGTTTCTGCCTCCTGTACCTGGAATAGGCAATGAGTTATCTGGGAGGGCAAACACATGGACCAGCATTAGCCCATCAGTTAATATCTTGTTCCCAGAGTCCTCCTTCTGTCTCTGTCAGATAATAGGACTCTGTAGGAACACAGTAAGAGCAGGCTAACTTTTGGTGGCAGAACCAGCAGGATGGGCTCTGGGCAGCAGGATGATTCCAGGAACCTGGGATTCTGGAAAGGGAAGACAGTGGGAGTGGAGGAGCCCCAGAGACAAATTTGCCTACTTTACAGTTTTACCCCAAACTGGCCATGACGTTATATTCTGAGCATGTCTCACCAAGCGTCCATTAGTTGTGATGGGAGTTAACTGATGAACACTAACAAATGGCAAGTAAGAGAAGCGTTCTCGGTCTTACACTTCTGAAGGCCTTTAGATAAAATCTCCTAGCACACATTAAGAGAAGATCTAAGAATTTCAAGTGAGAGAACTTAGAGTTTCTGATTTGCGTCCACAATGCATTTCTATAGCGAAGAACTCTTTAAAATTTTGAACAAGTTTGTCTTCTCCTACCAGAATGATCTCAGTAAAGTTCATTTCAGCAAATATGCATTGAGGGTTCTGCTTTGTGCCAGCCCCTGGCCAAGAGAATTGGTCCTTCTTGGTTTAGGCTGGACTCCCCGAAGCTCCGTGCTGTGAGAGGTGACAACTGAGCACCCCTTTGCAGTCCCTGCCCCACTCAGAGCCCTAGGCAAAGGATGACAAAGGGAAGCCCACAAGTCACATGGCCAGGTGAAGTCGGGCAGTGTGAAAACTGCCAAGTCCAGGAAAATAAAAAATGTGAGAACAAAAAATTCAGTCATCAACCATTTACCAACACAGATCTGATTCTTAGAAATCCACAACTTTTCATAGTTAGCCATCCCATTCCAACCACGCGCGCAGTCTCAGTCCTTTTAATTACGCTTTAAAGTGACCGTTTTCCAGGCCTAGATTGTCTTTCACAAAAATCCTACCAGTAATGGTAAAAAACAAAATACTCTTTAAGATCATTTAACAATTGTTTGACAATAAGAATTGCTGGAGTATGAACATGTGTCAAGAGATTATACCAGTTATTTGAATTCTAGCTTGTTGTTATTAGCACTTCCTCTGGTTGAGGTTCATTCCTATCTCTCTAGCTTGACTTCAGCATTCTCCCAATGGTGGCAGCTCCCCACAGGGCTGAGCCACCTGGACCAGCACAGGCAGTGCCCTGTCGGGAGCAGATGGCTCCTGCAGCCTTCTCAAGATGTTTCCCCACCCAGCCCATCTTAGTCTGGGTGAGAGACCTAGAGCTACAGAGATATTTAGTTTAATGATCACATAACACTTAGTTGATTGAAGGAATCATACTAAGTCTTTGAGTGAGAAATTTTTTTCCTTTTCCTTTTCCTTTTTCCTCATTAAAAAAATCACTACAGTAATTTCAGGGAATAAGGACCATTGCACAACATGGTGGGCAATGTCATCACCATGACAACTGCTGCAGAGCTGTTTCTTGTGTCAACCCTCCTTGTAAACTTAGAGCAAAGCATCACAACACAGCTCAATGAGTGCAATTTGGTAAGTGGCTAAGGTAAAGGGCCCAGGAAGGTCATCTTCTGTTGATCCAACAAGAATTAAGGTTAAGGCTCTACACACCATTGGGCAGTTTCCTTTTCAGCCTGGTTTTCCATGCTGGCAGCAGCAGCCCTGTGCCTTCATCAGAACTTACTTGTGTTGATCTTTTGCAGAGAGATGTGCTTTTCTAGCTGCCTTCTCAGCTTCACCTCGGCGCCATATTTGCCCAGGGTGCCGTTGTCAGCCAGGATGAAGTGAGTGTGGGAGTTGTTGAGCACAGAGAGCTTACTTAGAGGGTTAGACATGGTCTGGTACACTCTCGTTACCTGACAAAATGCACAACACAAATCAGACCTGCAGAACTTAGATACTGACTAACAGGGTAAGCAAGAATATACATGTATGTAGTGACTGCTTCGTCTAATTGTGCACTTAAACCTACTCTCACTTCTCTATCCTCTTTATTGAAGGATTTTTTCCCCACAAATTTCTATATTAAATTAGAAAAAATAAATTATTTTAGATAATGACAAGCTAGCAATTGTACTCCTGGGCATTTATCACAGAGAAACAAAAACTTACATTTACACAAAACGTTTATGACAGATTTATTTGTGATACCCAATTGGAAACAACCCAGATGCACTTCAACGGATAGATGGTTAAACAAACTGTGGCACATCCATACCATGGAATACCACTCAACAATAAAAAGGAACAAACTATTGTTACACACAACCTGGATCAATCAAACAACAAAGCCAATCTTCAAAGGTTACACGCTGTAGGATCTCATTTATATAACATTCTTGAAATGATAAAATTATGGAGGTGAGGGGCAGATTAGTGGTTGCCAGGGTTTGATGAGGGAGGTGGGAGAGAATTAGGTATGGATATTAAAGGGCAGTGTGAGGGACCGTGGTGGTGATGGAAATGTTCTGCATCTTGACGGTACTGATGTCAGTATCCTGGTTGTGATATTATACCATAGCTTTGCAAGACGTTACCATTGGGGAAAAGGGAAAGGGTATATGGGACCTCTCTGTATTATTTCTTACAACTGCAGTTGAATCTACAATTATCTCAAAATAAAGACTTTGATTAAAAAAAGTTGCCAATGTCTGGTGAGAAAACACTTACATCCTTTCCAACCAGGTCTTCCTTATTCTCCACGATGCCCCACGGAGCAATTCCTATAGCACAAACTCGGCCTCTGGACTTGGAAGAGTGGTCTTTCAAGGCATCCCCTACATGGCTGATGACACCTGTGAGCAGCCATAAGTCGTATTTTTAGGCTCTTTACCTCCCATTATACCATCATTCATGAACTTTAGGGACCCGCTTCTCTGAGCCACTCCATTCTCTATGGCACGGAGTTGAGAGATAATGATCTTCACCATTAAAAGAAAATACACTGACAGTCTGAGCTCATAATAACTAGTCATCCTGCATTAGCCCCTAGAAAAGGGAAAACAAAACAAAAACAAAACCTAAAGCAAATGTGCAGGGGTTTTCTTTTCACATTTCCAAACCCTAAGTTTGGCAGTAACTGGGGTCTCTGGCAGTCCTTGGCTGCATTTAGCTGAAGTTAAGAGCCAGACTGCCTGGCATGTTCCACAACCTCTCTGTGCCTCAGTTTCCTCTTTCTGCATGATGAGGAAACGATTGTTGAGAGCCTCACTGAAAATGAGGCTTGTACAGGGCTCAGTTCAGGGAATGGCACATAGTGGGTGCCAGAAATGTTGACCATGTTCATATCATACCAAAAAAAAAACACAAGCTACTGAATAAGATTTCACTTCTGTCACAAATATTATCAATATGGACGCAATATGTTTTGTTTTCTGATCTTAATTATTTGGAAGCTCTTTGGGAACTATGATGAGCTCTGCATTTGTACGTTTACAGCAAGGGAGAGGGCCTGCTCTTACCGGTGCTGACGCCCCCAGTGAAGATCCAGGCCCCGGTGGTCATGGCGGCCTTGATCAGACCTTTCCCAAAGACCTGTTTCAGCTTAGGCTGCATCTCAAAGTTTTGGAGGCCTCCGTGCACAGATATTAAAAGCTTCGGGAGTTCCAGATGCCAATCTTTCACCATGAGATGAAGCAGTGAATCTGGCTTGGTGTCATAGGATACGCGGATATACTGCAAAAGAGAACGTGACGCTCAGCACCCGTGCTGGGTTTTGCCTCTTGTGTCACAGGGGAGCAGGGCTATTGCTCCTGTCTAAGCAAGAGCTGTCTGGCTTTCTTTCCCTCAGGGTTCTAGGGCCCTCTGTGTGAGTTGGTGGCCGAGTGATGGAAGGGAACTTTGGAAGGGTTGCCAGATTTAGCAAATAAAAATACAGCACGCCCAGTTAAATTTGAATTTTATATGAACAACAGAAAATGTTTGAGTGCAAGTATGCCTCATGCAATATTTGGGCATTATCCAAAAAAAATATTCATTGTTTATCTGAAATTCAAATATAACTGAGAGCCCTGTATTTTACCTGGCAACTCTAATCTTGAAGGAATAAATTCCACAGCTGCTCAGCTATGAACCCTGGCCCCAGAAGCTGGACAGGATGTTATTGAGGGAGTGGGCAACTGGCCACATTGAGTGGGTGCTGCGAATGGGGATCATGGGCCAACCTCTGGACTTGACCTTTCCCTCAAGGTGAAGAAGAGGTTAATGGTCAGATGCCTTGGTTCCTGTGGACTGCTTCTTTGTGTTTTGCCAGTATATAGTGTAGCATTCTAGAAGACTCTATGTTATGGTATTTGGAACTCTACTGAATTTTGTTTGAACAACGGTGTTGGGCCAGTGAAATAAAATGAAATTGCAAAAATGGTCTAACTGGGCACAAGGGAATGTTATTCAGAATTAGCTAAAAGGGATCACAGTACTGACGCCTTCTCTCCCTGGCAGGGCTCATCAGAAAGGCAGAGGGCACTCCCTGTTTACATGCAAATGTGAAAGGCCTTGGTCTTCTTGGGCCAGCTGAACGCAGACCCAGGGAGGCTGTGGACAAACTTCAGAGGGAAATATTTCCGGACACTCCTAACCCATTTAAGGGGGGTTGAAGCTTCACAGATAGAAAAAACAAGACAAAACCCTAAACAACCTCAAAAAACAACATAATTTCTCTCTCCTCACTGGACATGGCATGATGAGTATGGTTGCAGAGTGGGCTGCAGCATGATTTGTGGAGTCACAATGTTCATATGGATGTAAGGGACGCTACACGTTTTCTATAATAGTGCCCCGTTTCCAAATCTCATGGGTAAAAGGCTGAGTGCGTAGACATATTTGTTGTCTTTGTAATGAAATATCTAGGAAGATGGAGCCACACCCCTGAAAGAAGACCGTGTGTCTACAGTCTGGGGGTCTGGGCGGCTGGGCCTCTGCTGGAAGCTGCAGGCCTGGGGCCTCCCTTCCTAAGGCCTCTCTTACCATGGCTTTATTGGAGTATCCGCCACCCTGGAACTCAAGAATCCCATAGGAATCTGTTGGGTAGCTCTGGGTGTGTTTGGCAACAGACCATTTTTCAGGCTGAGTCTCCACCTGTTTATTTTCTTCTCCATTTTTGCTCGATGTCACACTTGGCAGAGGGGGAATATGCTGGTTGGTGAGCTGGCCACAGCAACACCTGGAAACAAAGGCAAAGCAGAGTCTTTCTATAACATTTTTCTCCTTAAGATGGGTTAACCTGAACACAAGAGTAGCACATGAACAGGAGCAGACTAACACCTTACTTATCCAGCTTAACTGGGGACATAAATGCCCCTTATGATGGCTTTTTCCAGTTAATCAATGCATATCTATTTAGATACCAGTCTGTTTTAAACCCATTGGATAGATGCCCTTCCTTACTGAACACATTTTCACTCTTTTCAATGTGGGCATCAATTACTGAACATTCTGTGACAAAGTACAGTCATACTCTGCAGATATACAGTTGACCTTCCAGGATTTTTCAATATTGTCGAATTCTTCTGTGCCTTAGTAGAACATTTCTCTACACGAGTAACATTGAAAGTATATTTCTTTTGCTGTTCATGCTTTTGGCGTCATATCTAAGAATCTTTTGCCAACTTTGAGGTCATGAAGATTTACTCCTAAGTTTTTGTCTAAGAATTTTATAGTTTTAGATCTTCCATTTAGGTCTTTGATTCATTTTGAGTTAATTTTTATATGTGGTGTGAGGTAGGGGTCTAAATCCATTCTTTTGCATGTTGATATCCAGTTGTTTCAGCACCATTTGACGAAGAGATTATTCTTTCTTCGCTGGTTTTTCCAACCTTGCTGAAAAATCAATTGGACATAGATGTATGGGTTTATTTCTGGACTCTCAATTCTATTCCATTGGTCTGTCTGTCTATCCTTTTGCCAGTACCACGCTTCTTTGAAATCAAGTAATCTGTTTCTTCCTACTTTGTTCTTTTTTTAGAAGATTATTTTGGCTATTCTAGGTTCTCTGCAAATTCCATATCAATCAGCTTGTCAATTTCTACGAAGAAGCCAGCTGGGATTTGAATAAAGATTGCATTGAATCTGGAGATCATTTTGGGAATATTGCCATCTTAACAAGGTGAAGTCTTCCAATCCATGAACATGCAATGTTTTTCTAATTATTTAAATGTTCATTAATTTCTTTCAACAATGTTTTGTACTTTTCAGAGTATAAGTTTTGCCCTTCTTTTGTTAGGTTTATTCCTAACTATCTTATTCTTGATGCTATTGTAACAGAATTGTTTTGTTAGTTTCATTTTCATATTGTACATTGCAAGTATATAGAAGTATATATGATTTTTATATATTGATCTAATATGCTGCAAGCTTGCTGAACTTGTTTATTAGTTATAATAGTTTTTGAGTGATTCTTTAGGATTTTCTATATATAAGATTATGTCATCTGCCAATAAAGATAGTTTTACTTCTTCCTTTCCAATATGGATATCTTTTATTTCTTTCTCTTACCTAATTGCCTTGGCTAGAGCCTCTAGTACAATTTTGAATAGAAGTCATGAGAGTGGACATCCTTTCCTTATCTCTGATGTTAGGGGCAAAGCATTTGATCGTTCACTATTAATTATAATGTTAGCCTTGGATTTTTCTTTTCTTTTCTTTTCTGTTTTGTTTGGTGAGGAAGATTGGCCCTGAGGTAACATCTATGCCAATCTTCCTCCATTTAGTATGTGGGATGCCACCACAGCATGGCTTGATGAGCCATGGTATAGGTCTGCACTCCGGATCCAAACCCGTGAACTCTGGGCTGCTGAAGCAGAGTGTGCAAACTTAAACACTGGGCTGGCCCCAGCCATGGATTTTTCATAGATGACTCTTATCAGTTTGAGGAAACTCTATTCTATTTCTAGCTTTCTGGGTTTTTTTTTTTAAATCATAAAATGGTGTTAGATTTTGTCAAATCCTTTTTTGGTGTCAGTTGAGATGATCACATGATTTTTTGTTTTTTATTCTATCGATGTGATGTATTGCATTAGTTGGTTTTCTGACATGAAACCAACCTTGTATTCCTGGGATAAATCCCAGTAGGTTATGCTGTATAATTCTCTTTATATATTGCTGGATTTGGTGATAGTATTTGTTTAGGATTTCTGCATCCATATTCGCAAGAGATATTGATCTGTAGTTTTCCTTTCTTGTGATGGCTTCGTCCGGTTTCAATATCAGGGTAGTACTGGCCTCATACAATGAGTTGGAAAGTGTTCTTTCACCTTCTATTTTTTGAAGGAATTTGTGTGGAATTGGTCTTAACTCTTCTTTAAATATTTGGTAAAATTCAGCAGTGAAGCCATCTGGACCTAAGCTTTTCTTTGCGGGTAATTTTTGATTACTAGTCCTATCTCTTCACTTCTTATAGGTCTATTCAGATTGTATATTTCTTCTTGTATCAGCTTCATAGTTTGTGTCTTTCTAAGAATTTGAGTCTTGGAATCCATTTCATCTAGGTTATCTAATTTATTGTCAGTGGTATACAAATTATAGTATTCCTTTATACTCATTTCTATTTCTATAAGATTGATAGTAATGTCCTATCATTTCTGAGCATAATAATTAGAGCCTTCTCTCTTTCTTTCTTTATCAATCTAGCTAAAGGTTTGTCAATTTTGTTGCTCTTTTCTGAAGATGAGCTTTTTTTTTGAGGAAGATTAGCCCTGAGCTAACATCTGCTGCCAATCCTCCTCTTTTTGCTGAGGAAGACTGGCCCTGAGCTAACATTCATGCCCATCTTCCTCTACTTTATATGTGGGATGCCTACCACAGCATGGCTTGCCAAGCGGTGCCATGTCCATACCCGGGACTCGAACTGGCGAATCCTGGGCCACCGAAGTGGAACCTATGCACTTAACTGCTGCGCCACCAGGTTAGCCCCCAGAAGATGAGCTTTTCATTTCATTGATTTTTCTCTATTATTTTAAAATTTTCTACTTCATTAACTTTCATTCTATTCTCTATTATTTCTTTCCTTCTGCTTCTTTTAGGTTTAGTTTACTCTTCTTTTTCCAGTGTGTCATAGTGGAAGGTTTGGTTATTTATTTAATTTCTTTCTTCTTTCTTAAATAGGCATTTACAGCTATAAATTTTCCTCTCAGATCTGCTTTAAATGCATCCTACAAGTTTTGATATGTTGTGTCTCCATTTTCACTTATCTTGAAGTATTTTCTGATGTCTTTTTTGATTTCTCCTTTGACCCATTGGTTATTTAGGAGTGTGTTGTTTAATTTCCACATATTTGTGAGTTTCCAAACTTTTTTCCTCCTTTTGATTTCTTAGTTCTAATTTCATTTCATTATGGTTGGAGAACATACTTTATATTATTTCCATCCTTTAAAATTTGTCGAGACTTGTTTTATGGCTTAACATATGATCTATCCTGGAGTATGTTCCCCATGCCCTTGAGAACGTATATTTTGTTGTTGGGTGGAGTGTTCTACTGATGTCTGTTAGTTCTAGCTGGCGTATAGTGTTGTTCAAGTATTCTATCCCATTTTGAACTTCTGTCTAGGTGTTCTCTCAATTATTGAAAGTGAGGAGTTGAAGTTTCCAGCTATTATTATTGAATTATTTATTTCTCCCTTTATTTCTATCAGTTTTTGCTTCATGCATTTTGGTGCTCTGTTATTAGGTGTGTATGTGCTTATAATTGTTATATCTTCCCAATGGGTTGATCCTATTATCATTATAAAATGTCCCTCTTTATCTCTTCTGATGCTTAGCTACTTGGCTGTGTGGGGGGCTGCAGTGCTGGCAGGTGCTAAGGAGGGCTGGCATAGATAGTTTCCATTAAGGAGGGTCTGGGTGCCACTGAAATAAGGAGAGACCTTTAGGTGCAACAAAAGGAAGACTCTTATGGTCACTGGCATTGTCCCAAAATGGTGTTTCTTGTCTTAGGGGGTAATCACTGAGCTTTAAGCAAAGAGAGGAATCTACAGGGTGGTGGTGAAGGGGGCCGAGCTTCACGATGTGGGGAGCTGAAGTTGTATGTGTCAAATAAACTTGAATCAGGTGGTCTCTAGGAGTCTGCACTCTGTGTCAGGGCTCCTACCTGCACGGATTTCACACTGGGTGAAAGTACAGATACATCACTCCCGGCAGCCCTCCAAACTCAGGCTTACAGCTTTTGCCCTCAGGGATGAGAAGTTTTAGCTAAATTCATCTCTGATCACTTTCATGGCTTTAGAAGGCCTTCTGTTTAGTTTATAACAGGTGCATTTTCATGTAAGTGAGGGACATTGTTTGACATTTTGTGTACAAAGTAAATCCTTTCATAAAGTTACATCTAGTTCACTTAATCACTCAGATCTTTCCTGTGATGGAAGCTCCTTTTCATCTAAACACGTTATGAAACTCTAAAAAAGAGGTCCAGAAGATGTCCTGGAAATCTGTCATTATAATGCCCTCAGCTCCTTCATCTCACCAAGACTAAGAGGAAAACTGGGGGCCCATCTGGTTATGAGAGTTCACTTTCAAGTGAGTAGCGGACAGTAACTCTTTCCCAAGGCTATTTGCATCTTTACAGAGGAACTTATTAGCCCAAGTGACTCCCTGGTTAATGACTCAGGTGGGGAATAGATTCTGGCCATCCTTCTTGACTCTTTTTCCCCCTCCCACAAATACTAGAAGAATAGTTACTGGCAATTGGTGGACAAATGCTGGTTTGGATAAGGTCTTAATTATGGCTTCCAAATTACCTGTTAGGGTCTTTAGTGCTGGGAATTACGAAGATACATTCCCGTTTGCAAAAGGTTCTTTCGATCCAAGCTTTCTGTCCCTGGAAGAGAAAGAAGTGGAAATTAGACCAATATATCCCCAAGCCATCATTAGAATTCATTCTTTTGCTTTTATAAAATTATTATGCCATTAACAAGCAGTCTGCCCAAAAAATCTGAATAGACACTGCCAATCATCATGCAAATGGATGCAAGTCTTTAAGGATCTTAGCTCTGGTTCCTTTAAAGAGGAATGGCTTGGAAGTAAGTTTTGTATGTAGCTCATGATTCCCATAGAGCTACAAAACCTAGGCTTTGCATGCAAGCTGAAGTCTGCAAAGCGGGGAATGATGCCCCCCTGGAGTAAGCCGGTGCCCAGAGGAGCTCTGGTGGGAACGTGAGTTACCAGAAGCTGACAAAGTCTGCAAGTCTCCAATTAGGTCTTTGTTTTGCTCTCAAGAACCTCATCTTCTCCAGACTTCCGGGCCCCCACACACCGTAGGAATTTTACAAGTGGACTCTAAGTGGTATTCAGAGTCACTGGATGTTATTTTTATAACTTAAAATATTGAAGGTTGTAAGGAAACGGGTACTCATATAACATGGCTGCTGGAGTTGGAAATTGATGCAATCTCTACCGAGGGCAATTTGGCAATAATTTATCAAAATTACAAAGCATATACCTTTTGACCAAGCAATTCCATTTTTAGGATTTTATTCTACAGATATACCTGAACACATGCAAAATGACACATGCCCAAGGTTATTTATTGCATCACTGTTTATGATATCAGAAGACTGGAAGTCACCTACTGTCCATCAGTAGGCAATTTTGTCTGTGTTACGGAACATTATCAATGGAATTCTCTGCAACTATAAAAAAAAAAGTAAGACATTCTCTCTATATCAATAGGGAAAGACCACGGAGCTGTAGTAAGTGAAAAAGCAAGATGGAATAATTTCTAGAGTACTGTCATTCTGTTAGATGGGAGAAATGCACGTATGCAAATATACTTGCTTGAAAATGGACACAACATATTGGGAAGCGTTCACAAGAAGCAGCTAACACTGGTGCCCTCCAGGGAAGGGACCTGGAGGCCTGGGGGATGTGAGTGGAAGGACATACCCACAGGCTTGGTGCCCTTTAAAATTTTTTTAAGACAATTTTTTTAGAGCAGTTTTAGGTTTGCAACATACTTGAGAAGGAGGTACAGAGATGTCTCGTATATCCCCCACCCCCACACATGCATAGCCTCTCTCATTATCCACATCATTCACCAGAATGGTACATTTTGAACTTATTTTGACACATCATTACCACCCAAAGTCTGTAGTTCACATTAGGGGTCACCCTTCGTGTTGTACATTCCACGGATTTCGACAAATGTATAATGACATGTATTCATCATTATGGAATCATACAGAGTGTTTCCACTGCCCTAAAAATCCTCTGTGCTCCACCTCTTCATCCCTTCTTCCCCCACAACCTCTGGTAACCACACATCTTTTTACTGTCTTCACAGTTTTGCCTTTTCCAGGATATCTTATAGTTGGAGTCATATGGTATGTAGCCTCTTCAGATTGGCTTCTTTCACTTAGTAATATGCATTTAAGCTTCCTCCACGCCTCTCCATCGCTTGATAGCTCATTTCTTTTTGGTGTTGAATAATATTCCACCATCTGGATGTACCACAGTTTATTTATCCATTCACCCACTGAATCTGGTTGCTTCCAAGTTTGGCAGTTATGAATAAAGCCGCTATAAACATCTGTGTGCAGGTTTTTGTGTGGACATAAGTTTTCTCCTTTTAGATTTTGAAGTATGTAAATGTATTATCTATTTAAAAATATAAAATGTTTGCCTGAAAGAAAAAAGTAAAATAAAACAAATTTTTGAAAAACAAGCAAACCCTCTGTAGTCCTGTCACTCTGATAATTAAGTGCTATCAACTTTCGTTTGCTGAACCCTAATCCATCTATGTCTGCTTGTTGAAGATGCTGTTTGTACAAGGCACTGTGCTGGGTGCTGTGGGGACTTCTGAGGAGAAAACTTCAGGGTGAGCTTCGTTCCCACCACCTGGAAATGTCAGATGAGGGGTGGAGACTGCATGTGCTGAAGTGGGGGGCAGCGTGGATGCTTCCTGGAGCAGAGGGAGGCTGGGAAAAGCTCACACACCTTACCAGGGAGCCAGCACCCTTCCATCTATCTCCTTGAGGCCTGGCTCAATGTGTGTTGTGGTATTTGTATACATGTGATGTGTGTGCTTGTGTGATGTATTTGTGTATGAGGTTTGTGTGTGTGTGTGTACGATGTATGTGTGGTGTATGAGTGTAGAGTGTATGGTGTATATGGATGTGTGTGTGGTGTGATGTGTGTACATGTGTGATGGGTGTGTATGTGTGTGGTTTGTATTTGTGTAGGATAGGATATGTATGGTGTGTATACATGTGATGAGTTGTGGATGTGTGCAATATGTGTGGTGTGTGTTATGCATGTGGCATGTGTGGTATGTATTATATGGTGTGTATATAACGTGTGTGTGTGTGTATGTTTCTGAGGTCATAGCAGGGTAGGTTGGCAGACACAAGGAAATGGAGTGGCCTAGCATGGGAAACCTTAGAAATCAGAGTCAGATCCTGGAGAAGCCATGCAGGGCAGAGCATAATGTCCTTGGCCACTCTCCTAGAGTCTCCAAGGGGCACATCATAGTGTGACTTGTGACCTCTCACCTGAAGTGTCTAGTGGGACGATGCTCAGTGCTGCCTTCCCAGGCCCCCACCAGCCCTCTACCCCCCCCACCCCACGCCGGGCAGCAATGCTGATCTGGGGGCTCCCTTGTCTCTGTGGATGCCGCCTCCTTGGAGGGTGACAGTGACAACCCAATGACACAGAGGTCTTCCCAAACGAGGTCGTGTCAAGGACCTGATGCCCCTTTTGTTGCTCCACAGAGAGTCCTGGCCCAAGTTGTTGCCGTGCAAAGACTGTCCCATCCAGGTTTCCATCTTTTTGGAAGAACACGTGAGTCCCACCCAAATGGAGCCTTTCTGGGGAGATGTCAGAGTCAGCTGGTCACTTGGCTTCTTTTTGAATAAGGAGAGTGATTATAATTCAAAACCTTCTCCAGGGGCCTTCAAAAAGCAACACCGTACACTTTTCTCTCCAAACAATTTAATGACTACATGAAAACTACATTGCTAATGAGAGGAAAGGGCAGCATCGGCCCAGAGAAAGCTCAGAGTGGTAAGCCTCTGAAGTCCCTGCCCCCAGCACTTCTTACAGGGAAGTTACAACAATCCGGTGCAAAACAGCCAAGCAGGGCCTTTGCTGTCTGGAAAGAAAACATGCTATACCTTTTGCATTTCACTCCTCACTTCCCGGAGAAGCTGAGAGAGTACACCGTTTTTTTTTTAAAAGAACACAGAGTTCACAGTATTTGGACTATATGCCTTTAACTAAAGACAACAAGAACTCTAAACAAATGTTGAACTCCCATGAGTAGGCTACTTTTCCACAGAGACATAGGATAGCAATTCTGAAACTACTTTCTGTATATTCTAGGACTGAACAAATAAATCAGCATATTGTGGATAATGGGAGCTGGGGTTCTCACTGTTGGAGAAGGGAGTTATAAGTATGGAAAGTGGGGAAGGTTAGAAAGAGTCCCTGTAGCATTGGACTGAAACTGAACTTATTAGTATAAATCCATATTTGTAATATGTAGAGATAGACAGATATAAAAACAGATACAGGTGTGTGTGGGCCCTCTCTCCACACTCCCCACCCCCACCCCCCAAGTAGATACAGTATATTGTATTAGTCATCTATTGCTTACTATAACAAATCACTCCAAAACTTAGTGGCTTAAAACAACAAACATTTATCATCTCACAGTTTCTGTGGACAATTGGATGTGGCTTCACTGAGTGCTTCTGACTCTGGGTCTGTCACAGGATTCAATCAAGCTATGGGTGGGGGCTGTGGTCTCATCCGAAGGAATGCAACTGGGGAGGATCCATTTCCAAGCTCACTCACGTGGTTATCGGTGAGATTGAGTCCCTCTCCAGGGTTGTTGGCCCAACACCTCCCTCAGTTCCTGCCACGTGAGTCTCTCCACATGGCAGCTCATAACATAGCAGATGACCTCCACCAGAGTGAGGAGCACAAGAGGCATGCAAGACCGAGGCCACAGTCTTTTATAACCTAATATCTTAAGCAACATTCCATCACTTTTGCTGTATTCCATTCTTGTATTCGTATTCGTCACCTGGTCTAGCCCACACTCAAGGAGAGAGGATGACTGTAGTTTAAGTGCCTGACTTTAGGCTTTGGGTTGCTGAGGCATCCATTTCAAAAGACACCCATCTTGAATAACTATCACCAGCTCTAAGACACACTATCACAGCTACTAGCAAAACAGCCAGAAAAAGAATTAGGCCATCCCCACCCACGAATTTCCCTCATTCAGAAAGCTCTGGGTGACCTAGGTGACTGACCACTTGAGTGACCCTGCTTCTCCCTTCACACACTCTAACTCCCGCTCTTATGCTTTAAATTATCCAATAGAGAGTGAACCCTCGAAACCCTAGACACCCTACCCTCAGACCCTAATAAAGGCAGAGTTCCAGGTCCACACTCTTCTCTATACCTCACAACCTCGCTGTGTGGCCCTCCGGTGTGCCATGTACCCTGCAGGGCCTGTGATGTAATGAATCTTACTCCTCAAAATTCCCTCGGTGTTTGCTGAAGTACGTCTTGCAACCATAATAAGAACCACAAGGGCTCGTCTAGTCACAACAATAGTCCCAGTGAGGGGAAATGTCGGTAGGGGCTCCCTACGAGTACTACAGGCCCAGGTGAGTGCCTCAGGCATTCCTAGCTGAAAGCATCCTTTTCTTTCTTTTTTTTTTTATTAAGGATTTTATTTTTTTCCTTTTTCTCCCCAAAGCCCCCTGGTACATAGTTGTATATTCTACGTTGTGGGTACTTCTAGTTGTGGCATGTGGGACGCCGCCTCAGCATGGTTTGATGAGCAGTGCCATGTCCATGCCCAGGATTCGAACC